GGGCTTCATTTGGCTCTGGGGTGTTAGTAAATACCGCTCAAAGAGGAAGCTGAGGGCACTGATAACGGACATGGAGGCCGTTGTGATTCCCAGTGGGAGCACGTAGGACCACCGTTTACCTATTAGTGCTTCTTTTTTAACAGGAAAGCTCGGTGGAAAGTCAAAGGTGGTGTTGCCAGAAAAATCCGCATAGAAATTCCAGATCACTGCACTCGCGGTACACACAGAACTGAACAAAAGAAGACAGGCGCACATTTTGTAATACATTCGAAGGAAATCTGGGTATGGGGCTTTGATCCAACTGACCCAAAGGGTCAGCGTGCCAAAAATCAGGACCGGTAACTTGATAAAATTAGCTAACAAGATCATGTCCTGCGCATAGGAGATTTCATCAGAAATGGCCCAGCTCTCATTCATAACATGCTCCTGCGCCATCTCGACCAGCACGCCAGAGATGTCAACCTTTTGAATATAAAAAACATCCCAAAGTCCAATAAACACAACAGGAACAACCTTGCTGTCGAATTCCCACACGCGCCAGGATCTGCTGATTGCTAGGACGATACCAGATGTCCAAGACATATAACTCAAAAGGAGGCCGAAGAGTTGGCGGCAAAAGGGCTGCATTTCAAGTCGACTGCAGACAGGTAGAGGAGTTATGAGGTCAAGTCAGGAATGCGAAGGAGAAAACAAAATGAAACAGATTGATGAGCCACAGGTTAGAAAGTGCTGAATATTTACATCTTGCCCTTCTCATCTAAGGCTATATTTCCACATTCTATATTCTTCCTGGCCTTCAATCAGTGTTCTAAGTATCTTCTTTAAGAATAAGAGAAGCCTAATCTTTAACCCTTAAACCAAAAATATCCCCTGAAGTCATCTGAAAACCTAATAACAATTTAGCTTAAGTAGTAAAAAAGGAAACCCATTGCTGGTGAGTCAATTCCTACTCACACCGACCCTACTGGACAGAGTAGAACTGCTCCATAGGATTTCCAAGAGCGGCTGGTGGATTCGAACCTCTGACCCTTTGGTTAGTAGGCAATCTCTTAACCACCGCATGACCACGGCTCCGTAAAAAGCAAGGGAGGAAGTAAAAAGAAGTTAAAGAATGGTCCGTGTCCCGTGTAGAGATACACATAGACATTTGCTACTGAAATATCAAGGGGGAAAGGCACGCTTCCCTGGCCGCACAGAAAATCTCCCCAGAATGGTCTTGGGGCTCCCCTTGGCCTGGCCTATAAGATAAACAATAACACACGTGAGGAACATGCTTCACCATCACCTATATGTGTAAGTCACACATTAGCCATTTACTTTCTTCCCCCGCTGACAGTGAATCCTGTCAGGGTTCTCACATAAAAAGCGATGTGATGGTGGAGATGACATTGGCCAAGCTGATGAGCTATAATTCACATTTAAAGTGCTACTCGGGGGGCCTCGTTTTAACTGCCAACAGTATACAGCCCAGCAGTCCATGAAGAAAATGAAATGAAGCTTGTTTATAGCAAAAGACAGGCGGCCTAGGCTTACCTGCTTTGTTTGGCCATCCCAGGATATGTAATCTTTTCACACAGAAGACAGATTAAAGTAAAGGCGGCCACCAGAAAGCCTCAGTGATCTCAGCCAGGGCAGAAAGGCAACTAAACCACAGTGCTTCTCCCTGAAGAGGGGGAAAAAAAAGGAGAGGAGGACTCCTCAGAAGGGGTTATACTGCCAACTGCCAGGTTGGGAGGCCGTTGGAAATCGCAACATTCTTATGTTTCCATAACTGCCAGGGCTGGTCAGAGAATGCTGAGGGGTCATGTGACAGAGGCAAATTAAAGGGCCAGAGGCGTCAGATAGCACTTGAAGAGTGAAGTCTTTCTGGAAGAAAATTTCTTTTTCGAGGTCCTAACCCACCCACAGAGCCCTGCTGGAGCAGTGGTTAAGAGCTATGGCTGCTAACCAAAATGTCGGCAGTTCGAATCCCCCACTTGCTCCTACCCTACGGGCAGCTCTACTCTGTCCTGTAGGGTCGCTATGAGTTGACTCAATGGCAACAGGTTTTTTGGTTGGTTTGTTTTTTAATACATGCACAGGTGCCTCGGAAGAAAGACCTGGCAATCTGCTTCTGAAAGGTCCCGTTTAAAAAAAAAAAAAAAAGTTGCCATCAAATCAATCCTGACTCTTAGTGACCTTATAGGATTTTCTTGGCTGTCATCTTTATGGAAGTAGATCTCCAGGCCTTTTTTCTGCAGTATCGCTGATGGATTCAAACCGCCAACCTTTAGGTTGATAGTTGAGTGCTAATTGTTTATACCACCCTAAACCAAATGAAAGCCATTGCTGTTGAGTCGATTCCTACTCACAGCAACCCTATAGGACAGAGTAGAACTGCCCCATGAGCTTCCAAGGCTGTCATTTTTGTGGAAGCAGACTGTCACATCTTTCTCCTGCTGAGCGGCTGGTGGATTCAAACCGTCAACGTTTCAATTAGCAGGTGAGCGCTTAACCACTGCGCTACCAGGGCTCCATTCTGAAAAGGTGACAGCCGTGAAAACCCTATGGAGCACAGTTCTACTCTGCACACATGGGGTCGCCATGAGTCAAAATTGACTCAACTAACAACTGCATAACATCACTGTAATTCCTAAGAGTCTTAGTAAGTTGGGAAACTTTAGGAAGGTACACAGTGGGTGGAAAGGTCTTCCATGATAGGGGTCAGGAGCCGTCACCAGAGAAGTCAGGCTATCTGGAATGTACCTTCCTTGGGTTTGGTTTTTGAAGAAGCTTCCTCCACTTGGGTTTGTCTGATGTTTCACAGTGAAACCCATGCTGTGTATTTTGTGTAAGACCACCAGAGGGAGGGGGTGCCCTTCTCAGTACACCCCATCAGAGGTACGTGCCGCTGGTGTCTTAATCCTGGTGCTCTTAAGGTCACCGAGAACCCTGGGGCATGGTTCATGGTAGGCTGGATAATGCTATGCTGTAGACCTTGTGGGTGCATGCTTCCAGAGACAGATTTATCAGGAAGCTGATAAAGCTTAAAAAGGAGCTCCGGTGGCACAGTGGTTAAAGCATTTGGCTGCTAACCTTAAGGTGGGCAGTTCAAACTCACCAGCTGCTCAGGTGGAGAAAGACGTAGCAGTCTGCTTCTGTAAAGAGTATAGCCCTAAAGACCCTATGGGGCAGTTCTACTCTGTCCTATATGGTCGTTATGAGTTGGAATCATCTTGAGGGCAATGGGTTTGGTTTGGAATAAAACTTAAGCTTCAGGGCCTCTCATTCCCCTGGTGGGGGCCTCAGGAATGTGTTCACATGGCCATATGCTTTGGTCAAATCTGCCAAAGTCTAACTGCAATCAGTTAGGACTACCATCTCTGTCCACTCTGCTGTCCCTTCTTCTCACTCCCTCTCGTGTGCAAGGTAGGACACCAAAGGCACCTCTGAGCTCTGGCTGAGAGGTACTGTAGTTGTGTGCTGTCGAGTCAATTCCGACTCATCGCAACCCCATATGACAGAGTAGAACTGCCCCATAGGGTTTCCTAGGCTGTAATCTTTACGGGAGCAGATCACCAGGTCTTTTCTCCTGCCGAGCGGCCGGTGGGGTTGAATCATCGCCCTTTTGGTTAGCAGCTGAGCACTTAACCGCTGCGCCACCATGGCTGCTTTGAGCGGCACTAGGGTTGGAGAGTATTTCCCTTGCGTTTAGTGAGGTATGTGTATGTGGGCGGCTGTCACTCAACAATGCTGAATATTCAAGAACCAAAACACAGCACGTTTCTTTTTTCCCGGGGAATGCACAAAGCAGAAATGATGTGATGCCTGTGCTTGTAGGGCCCCAACTTGGCAGCAGAGCAAATGGGTTTGTGATGGAGTGGAATGGCCGATGGGCCCCCACGTTTCAGCTGTGTCTGACTGCCTATCTTCCTAGTGCTGCCGTAACAAAAATACCGCAAGTGGGCGCTTTTAACGAACAGATATTTATTTTCTCACAGTTCAGGAGGGTAGAAGTCCAAATTCAGGGCCAGGGCTCTAGGGGAAGTCTCTGTCTCTGTCGGCTCTGGGGGATTGTCCTCGGTCTTTTCAGCTTCTGTTCGTCAGTTCCTTGGCGATCTCCACATGACATCTATCTTCCCCTCCATTTGTGCTTCCTTCTTTGTGCTTCATCTGCTCCTCTTAGATCTCAAAAGTGATCGGCTTAAGATACACCCTACACGGACAGGACCTCATTCACATAACAGGTAGCAGGATATCCACACATATAGGGGTTACAACACATGTTTTTTAGGGGGACACAATTCAATCCACAAGAGTCCTTGATGCACTGTGTCCTGAGCAGATCAAACTGTCTCTGGTGCAGCAAACACCTCGAAAAAATACGAGTTCTACAACAAAACCCCTGCACATTGTCATCAGGGAGTCACGGCATGTAGCACAAGGACAACGTGATGACACAGTGAGACAGCCCCATACAACAGCAGCAACCTAGAACGGAGCTTGAAGTGTTCTTGTGTGTTAATGGCTTGATTGTTTCAGATCTCAGATAAGACAGGGTTGAAGTATCCTGGTAGAAGCCAACAGCAAAAGCAGAAATCAAATATGGTATTTGTCAGCTTTTTAAAATCTATAATTTGTTTCCATCCTAAGTATTCACTCTCCTACCTTTGACATTTATTTTTATTAAAAAGAGCCCCACTCCCCCAATTGTCTGACCTTCCGTCCCACAAACCTGCTCCAGCACAGACGCGTTTCTTGTCCTACCAGCCAGAAGAGTCAGCTGTCTCTCGAGTGGCTGTGACAGTTGTCCCGACTGCGGGGAAGCATTTCCTCCAGGTCCCGAGGATGGAGGAGGAAAACAGGATTAACAGCCAACACGTTCCCACATCACGCATGACTTCTAAGCACTTTAACATAGATTAAGAAATCCCTGGGGGGTGCAAACGGTTAAGCGCTCGACTGCTAACAAAAAGGTTGGAGGTTCAGGTCCACCCAGAGGCACCTAGGAAGAAAGGCCTGGGGACTCTACTTCTGACAAACCAGCCAAGGAAAACCCTATGGTGTACAGTTCGAGTCTGACACACACGCGGTCACCATGAGTCGGAGTCGACTTGAAGGCAACTGGTTTGGTTTGGTTTACCTTGTGAACTCATTTAATGTCACAGCGGCCCATCTCCAACTACAAGTGAGGAATGTGAGGCCCAGAGGCTACATCACTTGCAGCCAGGTGACAAGGAGGGTACCCAGGTGACTTTGCTCCAGGCAACGTGGCTCCAGGGTCCAGGAAGCTTGGAGGTGTCTCCATTGAGTGGACACTGGCGTGGGAGGCTGAGTCCGTCAGGCCCCAATTCTTCACTCCTCCCTGTATCCACACCCTTTGCCATGTGATTTCACAGTTCCTTCCATTCAAGGGGTAGGGCTCGGCCATGTGACTCGCTTTGGCCAATGGAAGGTTAAAAACCAGCTGCTGTCGATTCCGACTCATGGCATCCCCGTATGTGTCAAATAGAACTGTGCTCCACAGGGTTTTCAGTGGCCCATTTTCCAGAAGTAGATGGCCAGGCCTTTCTTCTGAGGCATCTCTGGGTGGACTTGAACCTCCTACCTTTAGGTTAGCAGCTGAGCACGCTAACCACCCAGGCACTCCTAGTGGTAGGTTAGCAGGTGTGATGTGATCAAAGATGTGAAAAGCATCTTTGTGAGTGGGCATGTCTTCTTGTGCATTGGCCATCGACACACCCGGGACAGCCTGCTAAGTCCCATGGAACACAGCCCAGCCTGGATCAGCCTGCTGACCTACAGACTCGTGAGCTCAACAAATAGCCCTCAATTACACTGCTGAGATTTCACAGGTGTTTGTTATGCAGCCTTATCATGGCAATAGCTAACTGATAACAACTCGTGCTGTGACCTCTTCCTGGAGCCCTGGTGGTGCAGTGGTTAAGAGCCTGGCACTAACCAAAAGGTCGGCAGTTCAAATCCACCAGCCACTCCTTGGAAAGCCTACCGGGCAGTTGTACCTGTCCTGTAGGGTCACTATGAGTTGGAATTGACCCAATGGCAATGGGTTTAGTTTGGTTTTGGCACGTTCATCAGCTTTAACTAGAATGGCATCAACAGTCACACACCTACAGACAAATGATGACTTAGTATATAATTCACTCAATGGTTTACAGCTCTGACACATGGTGAAGATACATTCATTTTTTAAAAAGATGGACCGTGGGTAAATCAAAGACGTGCTGCATTCACTCAAACAGACACTATTTATTTTGTTACAGTCAAGCAGGATGATCTGTTGATAGGTGTGTTAAGTGTCAAGCATGAAATCTGTACATGTTTTCCATGATGGGCTGCAGGAAGGAAGCCCCAGGCAATACCCCCGACAGAAATCTCGCTACGCAGAGCACTCCACAGCTGAGCTCAGACAGACAGGGGTGAGGAATCAGCCACCCCCTGGAAAGCTGAGGGCCAACTCTAGCACCAGACTGTTTTTATATGCAAGAACAGAACTATATACAGAGTATATACATCGACTCCCTGGAACCTCTGGGTCCCCACTAACCAGACAACTGAAGAGGCACGTAGGGGAATGGACAGGGCAGTTGTGATGACATATGCTTTGTTTTGCTTTGCTAAAAGGATAACATAGCATGATATGTTGCTATGTATAAGAGAAAGCCCTAAGAAAGAAAATCAAAAGGCTAGAGACAGACCCACGGATTCTGTTCTTCACATTTCACATACACCAGCATTGAGATGGTGACAGCACCGCAGTGGAGGGGAAGAATCACAGGTGAAAAGAATCTACGCTTTGTCTAACTTAAAAACAAAATGCACTGAAGCCACCCAGATGTCTCTGCTCTGGAGAGAGATGGAGGTTTGGGGACAGTCAGCTCCATCTTTTGTGACCAGACCAGACCAGGTCTAACAGCAAGTGAGGAGTGGGCGGTAAGGAGGAGAAACACGGCTTTTTCAAATCAGAAAGAGCTGACTTTAACGGAATGCCACCTTGTGAAAGAACCCTTAGCTTTCTGACCTGTGGAGACTGCTGGAAAGGCTGCTGACCCCTGGGTGACGGACACATGCCTGTCTATCTCCACAGCTCCACGGGGTGCGTTCACATTATCGAGGTGGCTATGCAGCCCAGTGCGGGGCTCTTGGCTTGTGCAGTGTGCATTCCTGCCCCTTAAAACCGTTCCGTGTTTTGGTAAGGCTGTGGTCACTGCTGACCCAGGGAAACCGCCGCACCTGCTGGAAACCTTCTTTCATGAAAATAAGGGGAAAAGATTAAAAGCATCCCTTAATATAACCAGTGTCCTAATATTACCAAACAGAAAGGCATCCAAGGGATTTGCTCACCGCTAACCACGCATTTAATTGGATGAAAACTTTTGAAGAAACACGAGATGACAGCCAGGAGGTTCTGCCCCGACAACTGGAGGTTGAACATCTTTTCTTGTGTGTGTCTGCCATGCACGTGTCCTCTTTGGCCAAGGTCTGTTCAAGTCTCCCGCCCACTTTCTGATTGGGCTGTTTGTTTTCTTACAGTTGAGTTCTGAGCGTTCCTTGTACATCCCGGATAACAAGTTCTTTGTCAGATACAGGGTTTACAAATATTTTCTCCCAACTGCGGCTCACCAATGGGAAACGACAGCTAGACAGGATGTTTTCCGCAAACAGACTGGCTTTAGAAACTTGGAGTCTCCACCAATCCAAGGGGCACCGAATCTCTCAAGTCCATGGCTGAGCAAGATGATGTTTAGCGGTTGTAGAGTTCACAGGCCTCTGAAGACCAGAGGGAGGGTTCTGACAATAAACGGAATGTTCTCTCACAGCGTGGTCACAGGTTTTGGGGGACAACAAGAGGAGAACAGCCATCTGTCATGACTGATCACCCACACACAAAACAGACGAGTGGGGGGAAACATAATTTAAAAACTGCTAAGCTGGTCTCATGAAAGAAATATCCAACGAGCACATTATCACTAGACACACTTTTAAACCCAAGTAATTTGCTTGGTGGGAAAACGTCCTTTGGACTGTGCTGTCGAATGGGCAGCACTTGAGCTACCTGTCTGCTCTGTGCGTGACCGTGTTTAACGACCTCGTTAAGTGGCGACTTTCCTCTGAGAATGAGCAGATCCAACACACTTGGGCTATTCATTTCACAGTAGGTTTTTAACGATTAGGAAACGATCCGCCACTCCAAACTTAATAAATTATTATCATCATCACCATCATGATGTTTGCTGGCTCCGGGAACACCAGGATATGATGGAGACGACGCACGCCCGCGCTGCCCCACAAGCAGAGGCAAAACCAACATGGCAGCTGTGCCCCGGAGGCAACGTGAGTGACGAGGGTGCCAGGCTCCCCTTCTCATGCTCCTGAGTGACCGGCTGGGGTGGCAGACGCTCACTGCCGTCCCCGGAGTGGGTACAGCATCTGAAGACGGGGAACAGCAACTGACCCTCCTGGTGACCACCACACGTACAACTGCACCAGCGTCCAGTGTGGGGACTTGGTGCATGGTCACGTTCAAGGCAAGGGCGGCTGGCGAGCTGTCCAGCTCAGCCGTGCAAAGGGAAACCAAACAATTAAATAAGCATCCCGAACAAACAGGTGAGTTATTGCTTTTCCAAGAGCTATCACGCGGGGGATACTCTCTCTAAGACTCGATCTCTTGGAGCCGGGCTGGGCCCCTCCCCGCCCACCACGGGAGACCCCTATTTGCTGCGCTCGGGCTGGAGGCTGTCGAGCAGACACTTGAGCTGCTCCTCGCCGAGGTGGATCTTGTCCTCCAGCTCCCGCTGCTCGATGATGAGGGCCGACTTCATCTTCACAAAGTGCTTGTGGTCCGCCAAATTTTCCTCACTGAGGTAGCTTGCCAGGATGTCGAACACGACGCGCTCCCGCCGGTCCAGGTTCTCCTTGAGCTCCTTGGCGTCCTCGTGCTGCTGGGTGAGGACCCTCCGCTTCTCCAGCAGTGACTGCTGTGGGGACAGAGACAAAATCCCGTCAGGCAGGACCACAGCAGGGCTTACCCTGCGTGACACCCTGGGGTCTGTTCCCACAGCTGTCCACCAGGTTACCAATGGGGATCTGGAGTTCCCTGTGCTGAGGACCAGAGACACCATGGGTTCCGCACAAAGGTACTCAGGGTGCAGGTGGAGAGCGCCACCTTGTGGCCACAGCAGACCCAACCCCAGCCCTCCATAAGCCGCTCATGGCCTAAGTTTCCTCCCACAGCCCGTAGCACGGCAGGAACAGTTAACGCACTTGGCTGCTGACACAAAGGTTGGTGGTTCAAATCCACACACAGGCACCTCGGAAGAAAGGCCTGGTGATCTCCTTCAGAAAAATCTGCCACTGAAAACCCTGTGGAGCTGAGTTCTACTCTGACACACATGGGGTGGCTATGCGTCGGAATCGACTTGATGGAAACTGGTTTTTTACTGGCCTTAAATGGTTAGCAGGAAGAGTGGTAAGCAGAAGAGGAATCAAGGGACTAGAAGATACAGATGCCCAATTCTGAGATGCCCAAAAGGAGAAGGCAAAGGACCAGCACTAGGAGTGATCCCACTTGTGCCAACACCCTTTCTGTGACATTATTGTAGAAAAGTTGGTGAAAGGAAAATACCCTGAGGAAACTCCAGGGAAGGATTTCCAGACCCTTCAGGCAGAAGGGGACGGAGTCTGTGGGTGTGTTTGTAAAAGTGGACACATGACGGCACTGGGGGAGGCAGGAGACAGATGCAGGATTGTGAATGTGGTCTGGGGATTGGGATCCTTGATCCTGACCGGAGTCTTGCTCTGGGAGACACAGAAGACCCCATTTCCGAAACAAGAGCTGCCGCGACACTCCACTCACAATCACACTCTGCCTGCAAAAGACCCTCCTGGTTCCCTACACTCAGAGCTTAATGAAAACCACATGAGGACACCATGGAGCTCAAGGAGGCAGAGATGAAGTCATTCAGTGTCTTCAGGTGCAGGTTGGTGGTTTCCAACAAGCTCCCAGTGCTGCTGCTGCAGGCATCCTGCAGCCCTGGCTCTGAGCAGCAAGGCCCTAACAGCAGCTGTGCAGACTCACGCAGCCTGAGGGGCTCACATCTGCCTTACTAAGCACGAAGCTCTTTGAGCCAAGAGGTCAAAGTATTCAGGTTTAAAAGTCATGAATGCAATCAATAGCTTGGTCAAGGTCATTGTTGCTCATGTGATAGAAGTGTACCTTCTACACCAAATTGTGATGTTATGAGATTCCTACATGACATGCTGCAAAAAAAAAAAAAAAAAAAAAAGTAGGCTGGCAAATGCCAGGGACTCATTTAAGGTACACGAGTTTCTGCATTATATCTGGGCATCAGGACAGCCACCGGCCTTCTGTCCCTGCACAGCTTTGCCACAGAAGCTCAGTGATAGCCACACATGGGCCTCCAGGACACGGTCACACTTTGCAAACCGCCAGACACACAGAAAGTATTCCATAAAGGGTAGCTGGTGCCACTGTCATCAAGACAGAGGTTTACAGCAGAAACTGCCCTTGGTGGGTTGCTTCTGTGATGGGCCCATGACCGCCTTTCAGGGCACCTGCCTGCCGTGACTACAACAGGTCCCCTGCAGCTCCGTCCTTGGAAAGCAAACTGCCTGCTTCTAACCCTTATCTGGGAACACCTTGACCTTCAGGGTGTTTGTGAAACAAAGATAGAGTAGATTTTCATGCAAAAGGACAAGGGGAAGCAGATGAATCCTATCAAAAAGGACACAGACACTCACTGTAGAGCTGGGGACTTAGTTATCAAAATTGGCAGGGCGCGGGACACGCTGAATGAAGTGAAGGAGTTGCGTGGGTACCCTCTGCCTGCATGTTTATTTTCTGTTGGAAAAGACAAAGGGAGCCTTCTCAAATGGGACACCACAGCTTTTAACGTGTTAGCACGCCCATCTCTGCACATCTCAACCTCCTCACGGCTCAGCTGCCTGACATACTGATTCTCCTCCAAGCTGGCCACGTGGGAGGAGGCTGTGGCCCTGCACCTGCGCATGGAAACGGAACCGCTTCCCATAGGCCCAGGAAGGTGAAGCTCAAGGACGGAGCCTCCAGGTGCCTCAGGTTCCTCATCTGTAAAATGGGCCCTTAGAGAGGCACCCCTGGGTGGCACCAATGGGTTAAGGCCCGACACTCTATTATGAAAAACCAGCCACTGAGAATGCTGTGGAGCACAGTTCTACTCTGGCACACATGGAGTCACCATGAGTCGGGGTTGACTTTTGACAGTAACTGGTTTCGGGGAGGCAATCGCACACATTTATATGTGGTTAAAGGAAAATTAAAAAGAAAGGATACTGTCTAGGAAGAGACGATGAATAGGAACGAGCAGCAGGAATACATGAAAAAATGTCAAGAGAAGCCAACAGCTCTTTCTGAAGATCATGGCAGCCCTGTGGGCCAGTGACAGTACTTCAAGACACCAGATATTACTGGTAACTTTTTCCTTCAGTTAAAAGGAAAGAGAGGAGGGGTCCTGGGTGGTGTCAACTGTTAAGCCCTCGACTACTAACTGAAAAGGAGGCAGTTCAAACCCACCCAGAGGCGCCTTGGAACACAGGCCTGGTGATTTGCTTCTGAAAACCCTATGGAGTGGGTCTACTCTGCACACATGGGGTTGCCGTGAGTCGGAACATACTCGAAGGCAACAAACCACCACCACGACCAAATGATACACGATTTCTCCAAAGGGGAAGAGACGAGGGAGCACTCGACACCTGGATAGCGTTTTGCATTACGGGAGGATAGGCTGCTGCATAAACCGGGCCTGGCTTTAAGGAATTCACCCTCACAACGCCCCAAGGAACGCCTTCCCGGGGGACCACCCTCCCACTCCCAGCACAGACGCATGTATAGATACCCGGTCCCCAGGAGAAGCACTGTCGTCCAGGTTATTGAGGGCGTTCTCCACACGGGCCAGGCGGCCTGACAGGGACAGCAGAAGGTTCACCACCTTGTCCAGGTCCCCAATGAACATACGGAACTTGTCAAACTCATTGGGCTTGCAGACATCTTTGGCGATGGCCTCCATCTCATCCCCGAGCTCGTTGTTGGCCTGGATGTCCTCCAGCAGCGTCTCCCGGGCTTCCCGCAGCACCTGCAACTTGCGACTGATGCTGTCGATGAGTTCCTGCTGTGCACAGGGCCGAGAGACAGTCATTAGGTCCCCCAACCCAGCGTACTGCTTCCTGCAGGGCGTGGCGTTGCATCCACATACCCGTCATCTGAATGGGGGGAAACTCGCTTTTGTGTCATCTAATAAGAAAGGAGCAAGCCCTGGTGGCGCAGAGGTTAGGTGCTCAGCTGCTAACCAAAAGGTCAGCGGTTCCAACCCACCAGACCCTCTGCTGGAGAAAGACTGCTTCCTTAAAGATTTCAGCTTTGGAAAGCCTATGGGGCAGTTCTACTGTCCTACAGGGTTGCTATAAGTTGGAATTGACTCTGGCAATGTGGTTTTGGGTTTTCAACAATAAAGGATTCATAAGACCGAAAGAAAACCAAACAAACAAACCAGTTACCATTGATTCAACTCCAACTCACAGCGATCCCGCGTGCATCAGAGTAGAACTGCGCTCCGCAGAGTTTTCAATGGATCATTTTCTGGACGTAGACTGTCAGGCCTTTCCTCTGAGGCACTCCTCGGTGGATTCAAACCTCCAACCTTTTGATTATCAGCTGGGCACATTAACCATTTGCACCACCATCCCCTTGCCAAAAAAAAAAAAACAAAACAACCAAACCCATTGCCAGTGAGTCAATTTCGACTAATAGCAACCCTACTGCAACCCTCTAGACAGAGCAGAACTGCCCCACAGGGTTCCCAAGGCTGTAATCTTTACGGAAGCAGACTGCTACATCTTTCTCCTGAGGAGCGGCTGGTGGGTTCGAACTGCAGACCTTTCGACTAGCAGTGGAGTGCTTAACAACTGCACCACCTCCTTATTTGCACTACCCAGGGACTCCAAAACCAGTTGCTGATGAGTTGACTGTAACTCACGGCAACCCCACGTGTGTCAGAGTAGAACTGTGCTCCACAGGGTTTTCAAAAGGCTGATTTTTTGGTGGTAGATCACCAGGCCTTCCTTCCGAGGTGGCTGAATCACTGGCATTTAGCTTAAAACAAAATAAGTATGTTCTTGCTCTGGTGTCATGGATTGAATTGTGTCCCCCCAAAATATCTGTCAACGTGGCTGGGTCATGATTCCCAGTATTGTATGATTGTGTACCACTCTGTAAATCTGATGTGATTTCCTTATGTGTTGTAAACTCTATCACTATGATGACATTATACTGATGAGGTCTACAAGATTAGATAGTGTCTTAAGCCAATCTCTTTTGAGATAAAAAAGAGAGAAGCAAGGAGAGAGACATGGGGACTTCACACCACCAAGAAAGCAGTGCTGGGAGCAGAGGGCGTCCTTTGGACCTGAGGTTCCTAAGCAGAGAAGCTCCCAGACCAAGGGAAGATTGATGAATTGGATCTTCCTGCAGAGCCGACACAGAAAGCCTTCCCCTGGAGCTGATGCCCTGAATTTCGACTTGTAGCCTATTGGCCTGTGAAGAAATAAACTTCTCTTTGTTAAAGCCATCCACTCGTGGTATTTCTGTTAGAGCAGCACTAGATGACTAAGACACTCTGGTAATGTCTTGTTACATAATACTGGACGCACGGCCTTCTGGTGATACTGAAGGTAGATTCCGTTCCAACCTCCGTCTTCGTAAGGATTCACAGGACCTGAGTGACACTTTGTGCTTCATACTTGGAAACTCCAATTTAGATTCTTACATATACGGCAATTAGTGTGTCTATGTCTAGTACCCACCACTCGTCTGTCAGTTTGTCCCACTGTGGGGGCTTGCGTGTTGCTGTGAGGCTGGAAGCTATGCTACTGGTATTTCAAACACCAGAAGAGTCACCCTGGGTGGACAGGTTTTGGCAGAGCTGCCAAACTAAGACAGACTAGGAAGAAAGGCCTGGTAATCTACTTTTGAAAAAAACTGGCCAGTGAAAACCTTATGAATAGCAGCAGAACACTGTCTGGTATAGTGCCAGAAGATGAGCCTCTCAGGTTGGAAGGAACTCAAAATACAACTAGGGAAGAGCTGTCTCCTCAAAGTACAGTCAACCTTAATGACGTGGATGGAGTCAAGCTTTCAGGACCTTTGTTTACTGATGTGGCACAACTCAAAAAGAGAAGAAACAGCTGCAAACATTCGTTAATAATCAGAACGTGGAATATACGAAGTATGAATCTAGGAAAATTGGAAGTCATCAAAAATGAAAGGGACCGCATGAAGACTGATATCCTAGGCATTAGTAAGCTGAAATGGACTGGTACTGGCCATTTTAAATCAGATAATCATATGTTCTACTATGCCAGAAAGGACAAAAAGAACACTTCAAGATCAATCCTTAAGTACAACACTGTCAGTGTTAGGATAATAACCACATGCCTACGAGGAAGACCAGTTAATTCAACTATTATTCAAATTTACGCACCAACCACTAATGCCAAAGATGAGGAAATTAAGAGTTTTACCAACTTCTGCAGTCTGAAATTGATCAAACATGCAATCGGGATGCATTGATAATTACTAGTAACTGGAATTGAAAGTTGGAAACAAAGAAGAAGGATCAGTAGTTGGAGAACAAGGCCTTGGTGATGCCGGAGATCAGGTAATAGAATTTTGCAAGACCAATGACTTCCTCTTTGCAAATACCTCTTTTCAACAACATAAACAGTGACTATATACATGGACCTAACCGGAGAGAAAACACAGGAATCAAATCAACTACATCTGTGGACAGAGACGATGGAGAAGCTCAATATCATCATCAGTCAGAACAAGGCGAGGAGCCGACTGCGGAACAGACCATTACTTGCTCGTGTGCAAGTTCAAGCTGACACTGAAGAAAATGAAAACAAGTCTACGAGAGCCAACGTATGACTTTGAGTATATCCCACCTGAATTTAGAGACCATCTCTAGAATAGATTTGACGCACTGAACATTAATGACCAAACACCAGACGAGTTGCGGAATGACATCAAGGACATCATACATGAAAAAAGCAAAAGATCATTAAAAAGACTGGAAAGAAAGAAAAGACCAAAACGGATGTCAGAAGAGACTCTGAAACTTGCTCTTGAACACAGAGCAGCTAAAGCAAGATGAAGAAATGACCTAAAGGAACTGAACAGGAGATTTCAAACGGCAGCTTGAGAAGACAAAGTAAAGTATTATAATGAAATGTGCAAAGACCTTGAGTTAGAAAACCAAAAAGGAAAAACATAATCGCCATTTCTCAAGCTGAAAGAACTGAAGAAAAAATTCAAGCCTCGGGTTGCAATTTTAAAGGCTTCTGTAGGCAAAATACTGAACGACGCAGGAAGCATCAAAAGAAGATGGAAGGAATACACAGAGTCACTGTACCAAAAATAATTGGTCGACATTCAACCATTTCAGGAGGTAGCATATGATCCAGAACCGATGGTACTGAAGGAAGAAGTCCAAGTGCACTGAAGGCACTGGTGAAAAACAAAGCTCCAGGAATTAACAGAATACCAATTGAGATGTTTCAACAAAGGGATGCAACGCTGGAGGTGCTCGCTCATCTATGCCAAGAAATTTGAAGACAGCTGCCTGGCCAACTGACCAGAAGAGATCCATATTTGTACCCATTCCCAAGAAAAGTGATCCAACAGAATGCAGAAATCACCGCACAATATCATTAATATCACACTCAAGTAAAATTTTGCTGAAGATCATTCAAAAGCAGGTGCAGCAGTATATCCACAGGGAACTGCCAGACATTCAAGTTGGATTCAGCAGACGACATGGAACACGGGATATCATTGCTGATGTCAGATGGATCCTGGCTGAAAGCAGAGAATACCAGAAAGATGTTTACTTGTGTTTTATTGACTATGCAAAGGCATTCGACTGTGTGGCCCATAACAAATTATGGATAACACTGTGAAGAGTGGGAATTCCAGAACACTTAACTGTCCTCTGAGGATCCTGTAGATAGATCGAGAGGCAGTCATTCAAACAGAACAAGGGAATACTGGGTGGTTTAAAATCAGGAAAGGTGTACGTCAGGGTTGTATCCTTTCACCATACCTATTCAATCTGTATGCTGAACAAATAATCTGAGATGGTGGACTGTATGAAGAAGAACATGGCATCAGGATTGGAGGAAGACTCATTACCAATCTGCAATATGCAGATGACACAACCCTGCTTGCTGAAAGTGAAGAAGGCTTGAAGTACTTACTGATGAAGATCAAAGACCACAGCCTTTCAGTACAGATTACACCTCAACATAAAGAAAACAAAAATCCACACAACTGGACCAATAAGCAACATCTGATCCAAACCCCAAAATCCGTAGCCGTCGAGGTGATTTCAACTCATAATGACCCTATAGGACAGAGTAGAACTGCCCTATAGGGCTTCCAAGGATCAGCTGGTGGATTGGAACTGCCGACCTTTCGGTTAGCAGCCAAGCTCTTAACCACTGCGCCACCAAGTCTCCCAACATCATGAGAAAATATGGAAGCTGTCAAGGATTTCATTTTACTTGGATCCACAATCAACGCCCGTGGAAGCAGCAGTCAAGAAATCAAACTATGTATAGCGTTTGGCAAATCTGCTGCAAAAGACCTCTTTAAATTGTTCAAAAGCAAAGATGTCACTTTAAGGACTAAGGTGTGCCTGACCCAAGCCATGGTGTTTTCAGTCACCTCGTATGCATGTGAAAGCTGGACAATGAATAAAGAAGACCGAAGAAGAAGTGATGCATTTAAACTGTGGCGCTGGCGAAGAATATCAAATATACCAGGGACTGCCAGAAAATGAACAAATCTGTCTTGGAAAAAGTACGGCCAGAATGCTCCTTAGAAGCAAGGACAGCAAGACTTCGTCTGACGTACCTTGAACATGTTATCAGGAGGGAACAATTCCTGGAGAAGAACATCATGCTTGGTAGAGGGTCAGCGAAAAAGAGAAAGACCCTCAATGAGATGAACTCTGGTGGCACAGTGGTTAAGTGCTCAGCTGCTCCACGGAGAAAAATGTGGCAGTCTGCTTCTGTAAAGGTTTTAGCTTAGGAAACCCTATAGGACAGTTCTACTTTGTCCTATAGGGTCGCTACCAGTCGGAACTGACTTGACAGCAATGGGTTTGGGTTTTGTAATATTTACAGGAGCAGATAACCACGTCTTTCTGCTGTGGAACCACTAGTGGGTTCAAACTGCCGACCTTTTGGTTAGCAATCGAGTGCTTAACCTTTGCGCCACCAGCGCTTCCTTCATCTTTATGACAAGCGGATGATTGTTTGTTTCACCCCCGACAGGTGGATGATTTTAAAGACAAAGTCTATCTAGCATTTATGTATTAAGAAACCCAAAACAAACGGAAAAAAAACACTCCCTCAAAACCAAAACAGCACACGTTTGGAAGGCAAGAGTTCCAATCATGTCCTACTGCATCAATGCTCTCTCTACAGAAGCATTTCTTTGAGTCAATCTGTTCCCTTGCTCTGCTAGAATTCTCTTACACCACCTGATATCTATCTCAGGGGGTCAAGCAAACTTTTTTAGGCTTTGCGGGCCATACGTTCTCTGTCAAACCTCAACTCTGCTGTTGTAGCGTGAAGGCAGCCAGGTCAATGAATGAAAGTGGCTGTGTGTTAACAGGAGTCCCTACTGGTGTGCATGGTGAACATGCTCAGCTGCTCACCAAAAGGGCAGAGGTTCAAGTCCACCCAGAGGTGCCCTGGAAGAAAGGCCTGGCGATCTACTTCAGAAAAATCAGCCACTGAAAGCCCTATGGAGCACAGCTCTACTCTGACACTCATGGGGTTGCCAAGAGTCAGACTTGACTCAATGGCAACTGGTGTTCCAATAAAACTTTAAGCAGGTGGTGGGTCACATTTGGCCCCTTTGTCGCAGTTGCCAACCTCAATATTATAATTTTTGTTTATCTGTTTGCTGGTCATCTCTCCCAAGAGAATATAAGCTCCCTCAGGGAAAAGCTGTATTCTGTCTTGTCTACTGTTCTATCCCCACGTGCCCAGATGAGTTCTTGGAGCTGAAACAATGATACCTTTTGGGTTACAAAGCACTTTTGGATCCGCTGTTGGTTCTCTGATAATGTGGTTACCCGAGATACTTGAACCTGATATTCAGAGAAGGATACGTGACTGGCTGAAGGTGACACAATGAAGTCCACTGGATTTTTGTTGGTGTAGAAGGAACATACCAGCTAAACTTAAATAGAATGATGCTGATTTAGCTAACTGGGCACTGGACCCTCATTAAAAGTCCAAGATAGGAACCGAACAATTAACCACAAAGGGCTTAATGATGTTGCCCTGAACTTGATTGTCCTGTAGAAGCTGAAAACGAGAGCCCCTCAGACATGGGTGGTCAGGGCTGGGGTACAAACCATGGAGCCGATGCCACCTGCTGTCCCCCAGGCTGAGCTGAAGGCTCGAGCTGTGGGCCTACCTTCTTCACCGACAGGTCATGGTCCAGGTCGCTCCCTGAGTCCTCCTCAGCGTCCTGCTGCTCCTGCAGATCCTTCATCTTGATCAGCAGCTCCGCCTTGGGGGCCGACGTGCTGTAGTATGTAGAGTTGGTGGCCAGGGACATGGCCGTCGCCACGCTTAGCTCCTCTTTCCTGGGGGAACGTCAGAATGTTAACTGCTGAAAGCGTGTGCCTGGCCATGCTCCACGGACCCTTCCCCCAGGTGTGACAAGTAACTGGTAGCTCTAACACAATAACACTTGTCAGGGAGACAGGATGAGAAGAGGGGAAAAAAAGAGGTGACCAAGTTAGAACTCCAAAGGCCTTGCCAAATGGATAAAGTCTCAGCAGTCCCTGGGTGGCGCCAATGGCTACATACTCGAGTACTAGACAAAAGGTTGGAGATTCAAACCTATCCAGAGGCACCTCAGAAGAAAGGCCTGGCGATCTGCTTCCAAAAGGTCACAGCCTTAAAAACCCCGCAGAGCACAGTTCTACTCTGACACATGGGGTCGCCATGAGTGGGCATCGACTCGACGGCAGCTAACGATAAGTCAGATCACTATCAAATTAGTACTAATAACCAAAACGCAGGCTTTTTGAAGAGTAGCAAATGGATAAAGTGTAGGGGATGTAGTTTTAAAAAAGGGCAAAGCACTGAACTAAGCAGGCATGTCTAGAACTCTCCACTGTGGAGATAAGGGTGCAGACCATCTTCACTGGGGCCTGAGTCCACAGGGATGGCGTGTGTAACACTATAATGGGACCCATGTCCCCAAGTGTGGCTCCCTCACACCTTCCTGCCAGCAGCCACTCATCCTTGTCGCTTTGGTCTGTTTTGTCCTATTTCCCCTTTCCTGCTCCATTCTTTGGCTCTCTGACCTACTGCCAACGACATGTATGGTGACAACATCCAACAGAAAAGATGGAACCACAGGCAACTTTGCGGCCAAATCGCTGAATGAGAAAGGCATCAAAGTGCTATTTACAAAACTAAGACAAATTAATTTAGTCACTCATCTATACATAAAATGTCAACAACTCTCTAGCTCAGCTGCTAATCAAAAGGTCAGCAGTTTAAATCCACCAGCCGCTCTTAGGAAACCCTATAGGGCAGTTCTCCTCCATCCTGCAGGGTTACTATGAGTTGGAACTGACTCAATGGCACCTAACAACAACAACAACAACGACATATTCAACCTAAGCCTTGCTCCTCTGATGATGGGCTTTCTCCACCTTGGAGGAGTCCCCGGCTGACACAGATGATTAAGTGCTCGACTACTAGCCAAATGGCTAGAGGTTCGAACCCACCCAGAGATACCTCAGAAGAAAGGCCTGGCAATCTGCTTCTGGAAGGTCACAGCCTTGAAAGTCCCATGCAACACAGTTCTACCCTGCACACATGGGGTCGCCATGAGTCAGCAATGACTGGACGGCAGCTAACAACAAGTCCACCTCGACATGACTGACATCTGGGACCGGATCACGCTCTGTGGTGGGGGCTGCCCTGTGCATTGTAGGATGGTTAGCAGCATCCCTGGAATCTACCCACTAGACGCCAGCAGCATGCCCCCCTCAAGCCAAGTTCTGACGGCCAAAAATGACTCCAGATAATTGTCAAATGTCCCCTAGGGGCACAGTCACCCCCAGGTGAGGACCACTCTTACCGAAAGGAGACCTGTGGGCATTATTCTAAATCAAATAGCTCAAGCCAGGAAAGCTGGGGGCTGGGGGGTGGACTGTAGTGGGTGTTTTCACGCCTTTCCCAGGTCTCCAAGGAATCACCTTCAGAGATAACACTGGCCAGGGTGCTTTTAGCTTCTCTCTCGGGAGGGTCACAAACAAACCAAAAAGTGCTGAGCGCTGCAGCAGCCTCCCTGAAAATCCATCCCCCCTAAAGCAATCCTGGAAGCAGGTGAGCCCTGCTACCTCCCCCCATGCCATTTCTGCCTATGAGACACCATGCAGAATCACAAGGGCCAAACACCCCAAATGGGGGCAGCATTACTCACTTGTCCTCCATGGTCCTCGGGGAGGGGCCTTTGGGCAGCAGCTTCCTCCGCTGCTGGGCCTCCTCCAGGAGATGCTCATCCTTGGGGAAGATGCCCCCCATCAGGTCCATGGTGGTCTTGATCTTCACACTGGGGTCCAGGACGTCGGCCAGGGACCGGTCCTTCCCCACAATCTCGCGGGCCAGCTCCTCGGACTTGAGGTCCTCCACGCTCTTCTCTTTGGCCTTCACGTAGCTGAGCCCCGCGGGGGAGGCGCAGCTATCCTTGGCGGGGTGCACCTGGGCGCTGGGGGGCTCGGGCTCGGCCGGCCGGGCTCGGGGCGGCTCCCCAGGCTCGGAGCCCTGCCGTGTGTACAGGTAGAAGCGGGAGTAGGACTGTTCCGACGTGCTCAGCGTCTTGATCTGGTCACGCTCCAGCCCGCTGGGCAGGGCGGGCGGCTCGGTGGGCTGGGCCAGGCCCTGGCGGCTCTCCTTCTCGGGCTGGCTCTCCGAGTGCACGATCTTGATGGGCACCATCTTCACCGTCGTGTTGTTGTCCATTACCCGCTCGATTCTGGAAAGAACAGAACTGTCAAAAGGTAAGGTGCGCCCTGGGCAGCACTCCGGCCCTCCTTCCCCTCCCAGCGGAGAAACCTGGCCCAAAGACCCCCAGACCCCGCAGCTGGGGGCGGGCAGCCATGATCCATCCCACGTGCTCGGACGGGCTCCACACGTTCCCTCCACCCCTAACGTGGTCTCCTGTCATCAGCCACCCAAGGGCCCTCCCGTGGGCACACAGTGTTCCACGTCCGCCAGGGGTTCTCAGCATGTCTTCTAAGGTAATCTGGCGAGCGATGTGACAATTGTTTAATTTTCTCTTTTGACTTCAAGGATAATGCAGAAACTTATAAACCCCACCAGGTTTTCTTTTGTAGGGAAACCTGCAATTAATGGACAGTTTTCACAGAATTACTGCCAGCGTGTCAGGTCAGCGCCCCTCGGAGCACAGCCTGTGCTGGCCTGCAGGTGCTGGGCAAATTCTCAGCGCGCCAGATACGTCCTCTTCTACAAAGACTGAGCCTGTTTTCACCCGACGCTGAGCTCCACCACTCCCCAGTCACAGCTCTCTCACATGCTCCTGTGCAACCGTATCTCACCCTCAACCTACGGTCCACCTTCCATCCACCTGCCGGCCTTCTGCTCCACCTGCCAGCCCTCCACTCACCTCCACTCCACCTGCCAGTCTGCCGCCGCACCTCCACTGCACCTGCCAGCCCTCCACTCGGCCTCCCAGCCCTCCCCTCCGCCTGCCAGCCCTCTGCTACTCCACTCCACCTGCCAGCCTGCTGCCGCCTCTCCACTCCACCTCCTAGCACCCCGCCGCCCCTCCACTCCACCTCCTAGCAC